GGAAACGCCAAACGCAACCACTTTCCTACAATTACCTATGATTAAGGATTCCTGAGGGAATCCGAAACTTCAAGAAAATAAAACTCTTGTTCCAGTGATCGCATCTTCTTCTTCTGAACTCCTACTCTGTTGGACAGTTTCATGTGATGCTGTCTGGGCTGCTGCGGACGCTTTGCTTCTTCATTCCGTGACTAAAACATCTTACGCTAATCCTCTCAGCTTATATCACAATGATGCTTTTGTGAATTGTCTGTCTTGCATTTTTGCGCAACTTCTGTTGACCTCTCCTTGATCGGTGAAATTCGAGGCTGTCCTGAGAGCGCGCAGTTAGATAGTTCCAACCAGGAGCATTTCCGCCCTAGAAAATGCTGAATTTCTATGGCTGAGTCATTCCAAAACAGAACTTGGCCGATCTGTTTATACAAAGTATTCATTTCTTTTTTCTCCGCTTTTTCGGTTTTTAACCCTACCTTTTTTACATTTTAGGGAGAGTTTGATCGCGAGGCTGTGGACTCTTTTACACACAAGACGTTTGCTGGGGAACTTTTGATTGGTGAGATTTTCGTTCGCCTCTACAACAAGCAGGCTACCTTTCCACTTGAGGTGCGTTATCGTATTGTTATTTTTTCTGGTTTACTTCTTGCCAGTGCGTGCATTTTTTACTTAAACGGACTGAAAAGTGATGAAATGGATCCGACAAAGCAAAGGGAGATCCGAATGGCCATTTCTGGCTTGTTAGCCGTCATCAGCGAGTCATACCCAATCTCAAGGGTTGGAAGCCCCGAGATTTGAACCCGGGACCTTTGGTAATTGAGTTCAATACTTTACCACGAGCTCCTGGCTTTGTCGGTTGAGATCGAGAATATGATGTATATATGTGTGCTTCGCCGATCTAGTAGAGGAACAATTAAGTTCCGCTTTACCCAGTTGACTGAAAAAGTGCCTGAAGTAACCGACGGCATTTGCGTTATGGTTGTTTTTATTCTTCTGGGAGGGCATACCAACAAGAATCCTGTTGACGAAATACATCTGTTTTTTAGTGCAATAGCGTCATCGTTGACTTTTAGACCCCGGTTATGTCAACCAAAATAAGCATCCTTCTACGATCATTTCCGTAGTGTCTATTAATAAGCTTTCCCTGGGATGAGTAGGACGCCTGGGCGTGCTGCTCTGCTGGCTGAATCTACATCACCAATATGTTAGGCACACTTTTTTATAACGTATTCACACAATACTATGTCAGTCACCGCGCGTGATCCGCTTGTTTTTTGAGCTTTGTCGCGCTCTGATGTTTTATCGACTTATCTTCCTTCCTTCACCTCACCCAAAGGGACAGGTTAGTTCTTTTAAGTTTTACTATCAACACCCGCTTTATATCTATTATATCTCTCGCACTGGCTGCCGACGACACGCCGATGCGCTTGCTTTGACTCGCGCGCCCCCGCGCTTACATGTTTTTATTTGTGTGCCACATTGGAAGGGCAAACTGTGACAGTCCCCTGTAATTAACTAGCACCTTAGTCTCGCATCCTCGCGTCCTTCTTTTAGCATCCGAAGAGTTTTGCGATTGATCTCCTGCATTTCCTCAAGAAGGATTTATCTCTACTGCCCATACCATCAGACGGCCGGCCGGCCACAAAGCGTCGGGTTGGCCACATAGACTCTGCCCTTGAGGCTCTGCGTAACGTCGTCCGCAGCTATCCCGGTGGGTGTTCTATTTAGTCCTCATTAACGCCTGCTTTCATA